TATTTGCAATCCGTAGGCACAGTTTTAATGATTTCATGCAAGTTAATCCACAATATGAAAAGTAATGTATTTGTGTAGTGTATTATACATTTATAAATCTGATTAATATTATTATATGGATAATAAAGAAGACATGAGATGTAAACGATTTACGCGTTAAACACGTTTTTCACCAGATGTTGCAATTTAAAAAAATTGTAACTGTGGCTCATGGATTGCTATGGTGAATGAAATATAATTAAAAAAAAATATTCGATGTGATTATATAATTAAGTTAACAAGATTACGATAGTATTTAACAGACTATCAGATTGCATGTCGTTTATCGATTTTTTTTTATAAAAAACATGCTTTAAGAGTACACAACACCGAAATCATCTGAGATAAAGTTGATCTTTAGGTACTTCTTATGTAAAAAGATTTACAATCAATCGACGATTATAACCCAACAGTAGAGATTGACGTTAAGCTTTTAAAAAGCGATTCCCCATAAGCTACAAGTGTCTAATTCATATACAGATTGTAGAGGAAAAAAATGTAAAATAATTGGAAACAATGAAATATTGTTAAGTTTCTTAAGCAAACAGGGCCACAAACAACATTGTAAGCATAAGTTCTTTTGGTCTGGTAAAATAATATCACAAAAAATATTGGTTATCAATTATATTTTTTATACTTTTGATTCTCAAAAGATCACAAGTATCTAGATGGGTGACGGTTATCACATGCCATACTTTAATTTTGGTACATTTATGTTTACAAGATGCAAAACTGTTCTCAAAGCGAAACTCCCGGAAAAAGATGTGGCTCAGACAATATTTACGTAGAATCCTAAAACTAGAAGATAAAATGAATTTAATATGAGGTCCAAAGATTCTGTCGAGCTGGAAGTTTATTTCTCACAGGGTTGTGAATTCAAAGTTACAAGTTATTGACGTCGATCTCTCCACTTTTATACTGTTCATATACTGGTTTTGTTTTTGTTCCAGTTAAAATCCATCTAAAATCGCATGGACATGGAAATTTTGTTCCACAAAAACGGTGGGTTACGGGTTTTATTTTACTTTGGATTCTACTAGTCGATTTTATCGTATTAAACTTTCTTTGATGAGTATTTAATTTCCGATACGAATAAAGGTAGTTTATGATTATTTCCCGTAGTTTGAGAATATATTTTATTGTATTTATAATTTGATGATAAACGTAGAATTTACAAATGGGCATTTAATCTGTATAACATGTCCTTAAAGTTAGCAAAATAACAGGATATATATTGTTATCGTCCAAATGCATTCTATACATACTGAACACAAACATTCTTTATGGTCCATAAGGATGACAAATCTATATGAAAGCAGTTTTACTGTGCTCCATTACTCAACATTTCAATGAGATAGTTTGTATCCCAAAGCTTTTTTTAGAACCACAATATTATGGGTTTGATATTGCATTAGATGTTATGTCAAACAGTTGATGATCATTTAAATTGAGGGATATTTTAGGGTTTCTTCTGTATAATCCTAATGGCTATAAAAGATTCATACACAATCCATGTAGGGCTTAATGGTATCAGAGTAAAAGGAAATATCTGGAAGTATGCGTTGTATGCTAATGTAACTGGTTTGAATTTTGTATTCAATCTGGGAGAAATTTAGTTAGTAATTAATTAGTGGAAGTGTGGGTATACGCGTTGACTATGGATACAACTACACATTCCAACTCCATGTTAAAGTTGTATCTAATTTTTCTTTTCAAAATAGTCGTAGTGGATGTGATACACCGACAGATTGTGCTGAGGTAAATTACTGATTTATGTAGATTATATGAATCTTTTTACCCATATTTAAGTTTACCCACTAATACCATTGCTTACGAAAGCCGTTGGAATTATTTCGAAATGTATATTGTCCGACAACGAGGAAGTATAGGCATGCATGGTATTGAATTATTATAATAGGAGTGTTGAACTGAATTTGCTCGAAAACATCAAATCTAGATTAAATAATTTTGAGTCACTCACTTTTTAAAGCTTAAAATCACTAAGTAAGTCACATTTTAAGGTGATGTTTCAAATTGGGTACGAGATAGATCGTAGTTAAAATATTTAGTTTGAGCAATTGTTTCTTAACTATTTTACCACATTCAGCAAAAATTGTTTCGGTGTAAAATATCGATACTAACATTTATGCTTTATAAAGACACAAGGACACGCTTCCTTAATTTAAAATAGTTTGTGATATCTGACCGGAAACTAAAGTTTAGCTCTTGCTTAACACTAAAATCTCTTTTATATGTGATAGTATCGTGGCGTGGTGCCTTGGAGTTTATCTAAAAAGGGGAACTAAATAATAAAAAAAAACATTTACAAGTGAGAAACAGTTTTTTTCTTTATGGCTAGATTCCTTCACTAAAAGTCATACGTATGACCCGGTTATCATATTAAGTACGTTATGTAACTTAAATAATGTAGAATACACACATAAGAAACTTTAATTTTTTAGTACCCTTTTTGATAAACTTAAACTGGGTATTTATTTAGCGTGCGATGCATGTCCTATATGTTGGCATTGACATTAATTACCCTACTAAGATAATACGATAGTGTTGACATGATTTGGAGTTTACTTTATGTTGTTAATCTACTATGTCAACTGAAGTTAACTTCTTTCTATTTTAGGATGTCAACAAAAAGCCATGCGATAAACATTTTTTATATCAATAATATAATAAGGGGGTTTCTCTGTTCCCTTATCAGATGTCCTACTTAACCAATTTATCCGGTTGAGCGGTCATTGTAAAGATTATGATCCAGTGGAGTGACGAATGTTAATTAAAAAGGCAATTACCTTTGGACTTCGTCCCCCTAGCCTCTGTTTTATTCCTTGGGAGTGCTTTCAACGATCCAAGGGTGCTGGTTAACATTTTTTTATAACAGTGTAAAATGTGAATCATTAGATTTTCAACATCTGGTTACTTTCATTTGGTTGTTGAACAAAAGTCTGTTTTTACACAAGAGACAAAACTGTTGAAAAATAATGTTAAATTGTCTACGATTGTATATAATGAAAAAATGATTGAGGTACGTAATTTGTATTCTTTATGGTACAGTAAACATAAAATGAGTATCAATAGAAATATTTAAATTATCAAATAAATAAATAGTAAAGTCTTACCTTAGCAATCCTTGTTATGGTGGTCCGATATTAATTTCAAACCCGTAGGTTCATCATCAGTCGGAAGTTTAGGTAGACCAAATTTTTGTTATAAAATCCACCCGATGGGTTTCGTAGAAATGTTGACATTTAACACGAAGACACACATTACAGTTGACATAAATAATATACGTAGTTTAGGGATAAAAACCATGGTTTTATAAAACAGTGGGATAACCTCACTTCAGTCAGGGAACACGCTGCCGGCAGAACTGTCAAAATTTAGTCAGATTGTGGGTTGAGGTTATGTTGACATTTTTTTACTACGGAATGAAAAAACATATGATGGATGTATTTGGATTGATGTGGCTAGGTGTCTGATTGATTATTTGTTCTCAGAAGTGTATCAAAAATTATGTTTGCTGAGAAATTACGTTGGTCATTGAGGACTTCAGACGGGTTGGATTTAGTATTGCTGTATATATGGAATTGTTCGATTATGTCCAGCTTGTTGCTTTTTGGGCCTTTATGTAGGATTTCTAGGTCTTGGTCTATGGTCGAATATGAGTGCATATGATTTATAAGATGCTCAGCGTATGTGGACTGGTTGGTATTGGAATTTCTGGGAAGGTGTTCTTTGTATTGGCCAAACAGGCCGAAGCTTCAAAACCCGATACAAAGAACACCTTCCCAGAAATTCCAATACCAACCAGTCCACATACGCTGAGCATCTTATAAATCATATGCACTCATATTCGACCATAGACCAAGACCTAGAAATCCTACATAAAGGCCCAAAAAGCAACAAGCTGGACATAATCGAACAATTCCATATATACAGCAATACTAAATCCAACCCGTCTGAAGTCCTCAATGACCAACGTAATTTCTCAGCAAACACAATTTTTGATACACTTCTGAGAACAAATAATCAATCAGACACCTAGCCACATCAATCCAAATACATCCATCATATGTTTTTTCATTCCGTAGTAAAAAAATGTCAACATAACCTCAACCCACAATCTGACTAAATTTTGACAGTTCTGCCGGCAGCGTGTTCCCTGACTGAAGTGAGGTTATCCCACTGTTTTATAAAACCATGGTTTTTATCCCTAAACTACGTATATTATTTATGTCAACTGTAATGTGTGTCTTCGTGTTAAATGTCAACATTTCTACGAAACCCATCGGGTGGATTTTATAACAAAAATTTGGTCTACCTAAACTTCCGACTGATGATGAACCTACGGGTTTAAAATTAATATCGGACCACCATAACAAGGATTGCTAAGGTAAGACTTTACTATTTATTTATTTGATTATATAAGCAATCCAGAGGCTGAAATGATAGATTTAAATTATTGTAAATTAGCAATCAAGAGGACTAAACGTCTCAAATGAACGATTTTAATTCTCATATCATGATATTTTCTTGGATTTATATGTTTACAGCTTTAAGATATCTTTTAAGGTTTTGGGAATTGCATGTCACGAAGGCGAATTTCGAACCCTATTAAAATGTGTGATTCACTCACTGGTTCCCTCTAACAATTTAATACACTTACTGTACACATACCAATTAACACCTACTAGTGTTCGCAAGCAAAACTTGAAGTGACACCGGTGATGCCATACAAGCACCAACCAACTTAAGTCGATAACATACGCGGCATAGGCAGTTGTATAATGCAATTAGTCGGGACGATGTTTTCACACAGGTAGTAGACACGGTCGACATCTTCACGCCGGCTAGTAGCGTAGTAGTGCGGTGGGTGGTGGGGGGAATCCAGGGGCCAGGGTGGGGGGTGGTGGGGGATGCTGCTTCTGCTTCTGGAGCGACACTTGGCCAACGACCACCACTAGGTACGGTCGGGATGGACAGCTAGCGGGAGACATGTCTGGAGCGTCACTCGTCGTACTCATTTGCTTCTTATGTCTTCTAAAAGGTAAGTGACGTCGCCCGACGAGTGAGAAGTGATGTGAAGTGACAGTGAGATCGATCTGTGCAATATGGAGTGTCGCGAGAGTGGTTACGGCCCAAAATGGACGTGCAACGTGTGATTGCAATGTGCAATACGGTTGGTGTTGGGATCGTAAATATGTGTGTCAAAAGTAGTAAATATCGCTGTGGTTGGTTTTGTAATCATTATGGGGGTTGTACAACTTTATGGTCTTATTTTCCTATGGGTATGGTATTAGTGTGGGGGTGCTAAATATGGACGTATACAGTACTCGTACTTGCAGATAAATATATTAATTTAAACCATGGTTAATTTAATTTTTACTTAGAACAAGGAACATAATTGAATTATTTACTAAACATTAAAACCAAACATCAACTACTCTTGTTCTGGTTTAAAATTTACCATGAACAATGTACTTGTGTCAGAACAGAACCCTTTGAAATGTATGTAAGCTATCGGATCAAAAATAACCATTTTGTTAACTAAGGGTTAGTTTTGCATTCTTTTTTGTAAGTTAACTCTATATTCAACAAAAATCAACGAGTACTAATTTATACAATTTATATCATGATCTGTATCGAATTTGAAAAACGAAGCTAAACTGTATTAATTATTAATAAAAATGTATTCTTACTGTTCTAATTACTCCTGCCACTAATAATGTTTTGGATTTATTAGGCTCATGATTAAATAGACCTGCCCATAAAGTTTAATATTGATGTAAAAAATACAGTTAGAATGGAAAAAAACACTAAAAATAATCTTGACAAAAGGTAAAGGAAATGAAACATATGGGTCCGAACCGCAAGAAACTCAAAGCTAACTGTTGACTATAATTTGGTCATAGATGAATAATTACACCAATAAATGTAAATTGGCTTTCTAAATTTTGGGGAAATATATCGTGAAACAGATATAAACCTTGTTATTCACAAAAGATTTAAGCATTTTGTCAATTTCTTAAACACCCCAAAGTACTATTAATGCAAAACGTTTAATGTGTAAAAAACGAGTGTGGCATCTAAGTTTTGTAGATAAATATTTAAAGCGTAGAAAAGGTAGGATATAATTTATAACTAGATTATTATTCTTGTAACGATATAATAATTTTAAATTACCTCTGGTTAATGTTGTTCAAAGGTCCATTGTGGTTATTTTCCATCACGATGGTAAAAAACAATACACAACGTTTCGGGATCTGGAATCTGATACCGTCTTTCGGTGAAAAAACTTAACTAACACATTACAACTAATAATACACAAAATGCACAACCTAAGTTGGAATACACCAAAGAGAGTAGTAGTCGAAAAATATGCACCTACGGTTAGGTGAATATTGTTCGTTAAATACAATTAAAAGTAATACAAAACCAAAATACTATATTTATCGTTTAATATCCCACAAAAAATTCATTATAAATCTGCTAGACAGAAAACAATAAATCAAGTAAAGGTAATAATTAATTTTGTTAACTGCATATTTTTCAGTACCTGTGCCAGATAAAATATCTCTTGCTTAATAAAACGGAGTTTTAACGTAAAAAAATTTTGCCATCACTATAATTTAATCAATATTTTTATTGCAAATTTTCCCTAATATTGCATACAATTCAAATTGTATGCTAACTAAGTCCAAGGCTACTCTGCAAATTTTACTATTAGGTGGTTAGCAGCGGATACATTTGAAAAGACATTGTAAACCTAGTAAACCTCAATTTTCACTTCATATGGTTATGTTACACTATAAAAGAAAAATACACTTTGAACACATAAAAACGCTATTTAGGGTAGGTATACAATGTTGAGGTGAAAGGTGCGCTTAGTGTGAATCCACAATATCCATAAAAGCGTAACGTTAAATAATTATTAAAAATTATCAAATCTCAATTTTTCTACAAACATTTATGAGTTATAAGTATCATTAAAAAAAACTTTTTATTAAAAATTGCATTAATGGTGAATTCAAATGTTTTTGGAATTATTATTAAATATTTAAAAGAATAAAATGTATTGTAAACAAAGATGTGATGATTAATAGCTAAAGAGGTAGAAAATGCTGATAAATTTTACATGAACATTAATTAAACAAAATACTAGAAATTGAATTTCTTAAAAAAATTAAATGTTGTAAATCAAATACTGTATATGAAACCCTAAACAATATCAGTTATACCTGTCATCGGTCGGAAAAATTAACCACCAAAGTAGGCTAAATACTTAACAATAATTTTATAACATTCGCTGCAAATCCAATAATGTTACTTATTGGGTTTATAAATCGGTAGAAATAAATCTATGTTTCATAATATCAATAATTTTTTTTTCAAAATATTCGAAAAAATCTTATTGTAATTTTACACCTTTGAATAACAGAAGCTGTCCTAGTTGCAGTTTATTTGTTCCTCAGGAGTATAAAGATCTTTTAAAGTTCTCAAAACGAAAATGTTTCCGGCACAGTGAAATAAAACACTGCAATAACGATTACCGTTCGGTGCGGGCGGGGCACTTGAAGCTGTAAAAATAAATGCGTTTTGGCTGTTGGTCCGTGTTGTGCAGACATTACATGTTCACAATGGACAATTGCTTAACGGACTGGGAAGATTAATAATCTAAAATATTTAAACCGTTATGGAAACATACAGCTTGTTGAAATATACATTGTCATAGGATCCTCAGTGTTTCATTTGCATATAATATGCATCTAGTTGAAACATTTTTGCATGAGGTGTAGGATTATCTATCTATATATTAATAGGCAAGCATGTTTCTTTAAAACCTTTTTTCTCAGCTCGTAAATATAAATAGTTAGACACTATAATATGATTCTATAAGATCCTGTAAAATATCGATGATCCAAAATAGGTGTAGGTTGAAATAAAAAATACATTATTGTTTAAAAACAGTAAATTAATTTTATAAAATGAAATTTAATCCAATTTTTATCTCAATACATTTTAATCAATGAATATATAAGGAAATTTGTAATATATTCCAAGAAACAGATATTGGAAGTTATTTTGTATAGCATACGATAAATACGACTGCAAGCTATTCATAAAAAAATTGGTAAATTGTTTTTTACAGTAGGCCTATTAAATTAAACAAGAAGACAAAACATTAACTTAAATATTTGAAGAAAAAAGGATTTTTAACTTTTCACATTTCATCTGGATGTTTTTTTTTCTGCAAGATAAATATTAAAGGGAATGGTCAAATCAAGGAATAATATACAGTGTAACGTATAAATATTAATTAAATAATCTTTTTAATTTTCAAGACTTTTTTCGTACATCGGTTTTCAGATAGTGATTTAAATTTAAATAAAAAGTATCTTATCTAAATGCTTTGGACTCGATACAACAAAATCACCTACATAAAATTACAAATATAGTGTTTTGAAAATAGAACAAACAGAGAAATAATCAGGTAACAAAGTAAAGTATAAACTGGTAAATACAATTGTAGAATATAAATCGTTTATAAAAGAGATACGAGTATACCTAAAATATTAAAGACTATTTTGCTCAAAAAATGTGTATTTATCATTAAAATCCAATTACATTTTCGAATTTATTTGGTGGATATTTTGATAGAGTAATAATAATCGCATCTGGAAAAAGAGAACAGCAAATACAGAGCATTATAGAGCAAAACATTATTTCAGAGCCGAAAGAGATATTTAAATTAAACTGCTACCTACTTTATTTTCAAGATAAATAAAGTTACAGATTTTCGATAACTGAGCGAATTTTTTGGTCACTGTTTTCTAAAGTGATAAGACCAATACTTACTTTATGAGCCAAAAGGTATTTACTTAAGTTTCATGTTCTATAAAGTATAAGAAGAATTATGTGACGATAATAGTGAATAGTTTTCACTCAATAATTACTTTCAACTATGTTTACATATAAATTTGCGCATTTAATATCTATCAAAATCATTCACGAACTTGAAAAAATGTGATTTAATAAATTAAATATGCAATATTTCAATCATGTATAATCCTTCCCATTTATATTATCAAGAAAAAATATTTTGTTAAACTGTGACATTGTGGTTTTATGGTTGTGGTGTTAAGAATTCCGACACTCTCAATGGAATATCCTTTAATAGATTAATGAATTAAATAAAATTTACTTTTGCCAGCAAGTGGTTCTTGGTACAAACAGTTTTAGGGGATCCGTGTCGTAACACCTTGGTCCGAGTAACGTTTCGGCCTAGTAACATTTCGGCCTAGTAACATTTCGGCCTAGTAACATTTCGGTCCGAAATCCTCAGATGTGGCCTGCGGTCCAACTCTCTACCTGCCCACTAGTAACACCTCGTCCCAAAAATATTTGACAGGTCTTTGGGAGGACAGTAAAAAACTAACAACACTTAAAAATAACAAAATGTATTAGATTTAATATTGACTCAACAAAAAATGCGTTAGGTTAGGTCAGGTTAGGTTAGGTTAGGTTAGGTCAGGTTACCAGTAGGCTGCAAAGTATACAGGTCATGGGCCTCTTATTACCTGAACTGCTTTCATCAACCCTTGTCAATTTTCGTTGGGACGAAATTTTACTCCATTAGTTTATCTATATATACAGCCCAAAGTACTCATGAACTTTTGAGAAAACACACCCATAAACCATATACTTAAAATATTCGTCATGACGAGAAACCTTTCGCATAACTATCCATTATTTCATAAATTGCCCTTTAAGGTCGTAATTACTTTCTAAAGGGAACTTTCCATATACCTAATTTTAAATATAGCTCAGCTGTACTCATTTGTTTGTATTACTGTATTCTGTTTTGTTTATTTCAACTTTTTAACCAATCAATAATTGTATTATTGGCTACTTATTTGAAGTCAAACGGGGGGAAGCCCGTGGGTAACAGCTAGTTTAAGTAACTGTAAAAGCTAGTGGGATGAAGTGTTCCTGTTTTTCTAAGAAATTTAAGTTTGACCGAAACGTTTCTGGACCTAAGTGTTACTA